TTACACATGATCTTCTTTCCCTGAGTACATTATAAACCTCTTAAGAAAGAGACTTTGTCTCGACTTCTTTGTATCTCTCTTAGGACCTGTTACAGTGTTTTGCATGCCATCAGGTTTAAAGAGACATACATCATTTGGATCTTAATTTTATTTAATTTCAGAGATTTATTAGGAGACCCTCGGAAGCTCATGCCCATGTTAACTAGACTGTAAGCTCTCTGAGGGCCAATCTGCTCACCATTACACCCAGACCACAGGAGCGCCTAGCACTTCAGAGACGCTCACTAATGCCAGCACTTTGGCTACGTTCATATTTCAGTATGCACTGATTTTCATCATCAGTGAAGCAGCAGCCTATGAAATAGGATGACCGTATGTCCTGATTTTCTTGGGACAGTTCTGGCTTACACCTGTTGTCCCATCATAATTATTAACAGTGTCTTGGTGTTCCAGTTTGAATAATAAATTATGTTGTTACTTTACCTTAAAATCTAAGTAAATTCAGATGCTACTTCATTGATTCTTTTCAACTCTGACTTTGACCTCTTCTGAATGTTTTGTTTTTGGTTGTTTCCTTTTATGATTTATTTGTCCTCACTGTTAAATCCTTTAAAGGTCTTCCTTATCCCATTTGGATCCAGTGAAGTTTCTGTCTTTGCCTGGTTCAGTGATGCAGAAACACAGGTTTAACTAATGCATTTGTTTCTCTCTCATAAAAGATGCTTCACTACTTTGTTTTCTTTCGCTATTATAAAACCTGCTTCTTTCATCATTGCTGGGATCTGATCATTCATGAGCAGCAGTGGAAAAAACAAATTCATGTCTGGAATGGAGTGAAAGAACATATTTAGTGAAGTCGTAGAATATATTATAACTTCAGTTCTTGGGAGGGTGTGGCCCAAAGCATACCCAAACAAATTTGCTAGTGTTGTGGGAGAGCTATCAATGACTAATTCTTAATTATTATGTAAATAGTTACTAGAGGATATTGTATAGTTAAAGAAATATTCTTACATTATTTCCATTGAATTTGAATTTCTCCCTTAAAGAATATACTCATGATGAAAATCTGATTTTAAAAATCTGATAAAAAATGTTTTTGAAGAGTTATCCTCTTCTCTCCCACGTTTTACAGCTTATATGTTTTTAATTTCAAAATATGACTCTAATTTTTTCTGTCACCTTTTAGTTGAATAATTCTTACAACACAGTTGTCTGTTAAGAATCATACTTTTGGGCCGGACGCAGTGTCTCATGCTTGTAATCCCAACACTTTGGGAGGCTGAGGCAGGTGGATCACAAGGTCAGGGGTTCAAGACCAGCCTAGCCAAGATGCTGAAACCCTGTCTCTACTAAAACTACAAAAATTAGCCAGGAGCAGTGGCAGACGCCTGTAATCCCAGCTACTTGGGAGGCTGAGGCAGGAGAATTGCTTGAACCTGGGCAGCAGAGGTTGCAGTGGGCTGAGATTGTGCCACTGCACTCAAGCCTGGGCAACAGAGTGAGACTCCATGTCAAAAAAACAAAACAAAACAAAAAACAATCATACTTTCTGGCCAGGCGCAGTGGCTCACATCTGTAATCCCAGCACTTTGGGAGGCCAAGGTGGGTGGATCACTTGAGGTCAGGAGTTCAAGACCAGCCTGACCAACATGGTGAAACCCCATCTCTACTAAAAATAAAAAATTAGCCGGGTGTCATGGCGGGCACCTGTAATCTCAGCTGCTGGGGAGGCTTAGGCATGAGAATCACTTGAATCTGGGAGGCGGAGGTTGCAGTGAGCCGAGATTGTGCCACTGCACTCCAGCCTGAGCAACAGAGTGAAACCCTGTATAAAAAAAAAAAAAAAAGAATCATACTTTCCTCAAAGCCGGGTCTGACAGCATCCACCTGTAGTCCCAGCTACTTGGGAATCTGAGGTAGAAGGATTGCTTGAGCCTAGGAGTTTGAGGCCAGCCTGGGCAACATAAAATGATCTCATCTCTAAAAAAAAAAAAAAAATCATGTTTTTTCCAGGTTTTCAATATAAATTAGATGGTAAAAATCTAAGATTGTAGTATGTGTGATGAAATTGGATAGGGCTTATGGTTTTAATTCATTTCATGTTTCATGTGTAATGATAGAATTAATTGTAGTAGTAATACAAGGAGCAAAATGTGTATTTTGGAAACATCACAAAGGTACGTGAAACAGCTGAAGAATAATTATAAGGTTGTTTATTAACAAGTGAGAGATTATAGTGCTTAAACCATAAAAGTCAGCTCTTACAGGCAATTCCAAGTAAGAGAAGACAGTTATATAGGGAGAACTTCAGAGAGGAGGCCATTCTTACCTCCTTGAAGCCAGTGTCAGGATTGGATTGCTGAGGGAGAAATAGGGCTTTCTAGGCAGTAGGTAGTTTGCGCCAAGTTCTCCTGGTGGAAATTAGCATTGAGTAGCAGACTGGCCTGACAGGAGTAGCTTTTTATTTAAGGAAGACCTGGTGATGTACTGGGAAAATTATGGAGAAAGCCAGAATGATACGAACCGCCTGAAAACCTTTACACAGGACAGATCCCTAGTATGGGAAACAGACCAGAGGGGAGCTAGTCTCATGGAGCTGGGGGAGGGGCTGGGCCCAGAGCTCTGCCTCTCCGACCCCCACCCACTTGGCCCCTGTGGTCATCTCCAGATACCTCCAAGGAAAATGAAGGCTCCCCTAGGCTTCTGTAAAAACCACTTTTGCCCTCTTTCCCACAGTGTAGTCTTCAAAACATATTTGTCAATAGATGGCACAAAAATTCTCAAATTTTTAGTTGTTTCCTCTTGTACTGTTTGTTTTTTTGAGACAAGAGTCTCACTCTGTTTCCCAGGTTGGAATGCAGTGGCGTGATCTCGGTTCACTGCAACTCCCCTTCCCGGGTTCAAGGGATTCTCATGCCTCAGCCTCCCAAGTAGCTGGGACTACAGGCATGTGCCACCACCCCTGGATAATTTTTGTATTTTCAGTAGAGACAGGGTATAACCATGTTGGCCAGGTTGGTCTCAAACTCCTGACCTCAGGTGATCTGCCAGCCTTGGCCTCCCAAACTGTTGGGATTGAAAGCCCTCTTATACTATTTGTATAAGACATTCAAATTCAAATTCAAAAAGGATCTTATTAAAATGAAAAAAAAAAGATATCACTAATAAAATGTTAGCAAGCTCCAGTAGATTTTCAGCCTGCTTGCTTTAAGCTTCATTTCATAGAATAAAATTCTCCAACCATCAAATGATAAAGAAAACATTTGAGTTGGTGTATTAGTTCATCCTCACATTGCTATAAAGAACTACCTGAGGCTGGGTGATTGTTAAAGAAAAGAGGTTTAACTGGCCCACGGTTCCACAGCCTGCACAGGAAGCATGGCTGGGGAGGCCTCAGGAAACTTCCAATCATGGCAGAAGGTAAAGAGGAAGCAGGCACGTCCTACATGGCTAGAGCGGGAGGAAGAGAGAGGGTGAGGTGTCACACACTTTCAAACAACCAGATCTCATGAGAACTCACTGTCACAAGAACAGCAAGGGGGAAGTCCACTCCCATGATCCAGTCACCTCCCACCAGGTCCCTGCTCCAGCGCTGGGGATTACAATTTGGCATGAGATTTGGTTGAAATCACAAATCCAAACCATATCAGTTGGTTACAAATAAATAAATAAATAAATTGAATCTCTATATTCCCAAGTGTGAAAGGTAATTCATATTCTTGGAGAACTGTTCCTGGAAAATTTTTTCACTAAGCAAAAGCTGGTCTTTCTTAGCAGGGTTTAAAGAGAACCAAAACTAACTACTGCATTTCTTTGTCTGCTTTGTTTGCATCAATATCATTGATTTAGACAGCAGGGCAATGGGGACTTTCTGCTTCCCTCACCTTCTAGGGGAAAGATCAAAATCGAATTTGCTCATCCAGTACTGTACCTGACATTGCGTAAGTCGAGTGAGCTCTGTAAGGGCAGAATTCAGTGGTGGTTACAACTTAGCTTGATGTTTGATTTGGCTCCATGATAGGAAGCAGAAGCATGTGACTGCAGCCTGAGGAGCAGCCACCTAGGAAAGTGCTGTATTCGTTTCCTAGGGCTGCTATAACAGAGGACCACAAACTGGGTAGTGGACACAGTAGAAATCTATTGTCTCACAGTTCTGGAAGCTGGTAGCCTGAGACCAAGATGTCAACAGGGTTGCTTCTTTCTGAGCCTGTGAGGGACAATCTGTTCCATGCTTGTCTCCTAGCTTCTGGTAATTTTCTGGCAGTCTTCGGCACTCCTTGGCTTATAGAAACATCGCTGGATCTCTACCTTTGTCATCACATGTGTTCTCCCTGTAAGCATGTCTATGTCCAATGTCCCTTTTTAACAAGGATGCCAGTCATATTGGATTAGGGGTCCATCCTACCACAGTACAACCTCATCTTGACTAATTACATCTGCAAGAACCCTATTTCCATATGAGGTCAGATTCTGAGGTAGAGGAGGTTGGGACTACAGCACATGAATTTGGGGGTGGAAGGGTAGAGACATAATTCAACTCTTAATAAGTGCTCAGCACAATATTGCATCCCACTCCATCTCGTTCCACCAGAATGGAGCATGGCTGACCCAAGGCCAGAATAGGACTGGCACTATGGAGTTCACCCTGGCCACCTGCCCGCAGCTCCTCTGAGATTGCAGAGCCCCAGCAGCCCATCCTAGAGCCACTTGCCCACCAAGCACTGATTGGATGACTGATAAATCTGATAATTTCTCTGGATATACACCAGCGAACCTCCTTCAACTCCCCCTGTGCTGGGGGCAAAGTTAGGCATGCCCGTGCTAAGTAGGGTGAGTCTCACCAGCCACCTGGAGCCCCACCTGTAGTTTTCTTGGTGTTTGATAAGTGCTGACAGCCTCGATCATGTCTTCCTTTGCGGGCTGGATTTAAAGGGAAGCTTGGAAGCAAGTTCAGCTGGAGAGGTTAAATGATATAAGCAAATAATCACTTGTGTCTGAGCTGCTTGTAGTTAATTTCTCATTTCTTCATTCTCTTATTGATAATATTTATATTTAAATAAAGGTTTCTCCTTTACAGCCTGATTTTTTTTTCCATCTGCTTGATTCCTGCAGTGAAGTCCTAACCCCGTATTTGTTTGTTTTCTCACAGCTTGTTGCCATGGGAATGGTTATAAGGTAGCAAATTTCAACACTAGCTTTTCAAAGTACCCTGAAAGAGAAAAGAAAATGGGAAGGATAGAAATGTTTTCTTAGCTGAACACACATCTCTGATTATTGTCAAAAACACAGTAGAAGAAAAGCTGAGAGTAGCACGGGATGCATTCATGCTTAAGTATATGTCAAATGGCTCCCCAAGGCATGCCTCCTCTTACCTAAGGAATAATGTGCATTAGGAAACCAGGAACTGGCCGTTCAGAAGGATGATCCAGCCACAGTGATTCAGAAATGAAAGGATGCTTTGCGCTGAGGAAATATGGTGCTCCAGGGGCCCTGCTGAGAGGCTGAGATGGTTCTAGAGGTGGTTGACTCAGTTCCTGGATCCCCTCGGCCCACTTGAAGACATGTCTGACATCCTGGGAAAGTGTCCTAAGCTATAGCCTTGACTCCGCTCTCTTGAGGGAGATGAGGTGCTGACCTGCCTAGCAGTCTGGTGATATTTTCTTTTTTTTCCTCAGTAGAGGCAGGGAACCATCACAAAGAGACAAGGAGAGAAAGGTCTAGGTTTTTACATTTTTCATGAGAAAAAAAAAAACTGTTGTGCAATAATTAAATAGCCCACCCTCAAGTCACATATTGTTTAGAGGACACGGGACTACAGCATCCTGGACAGACCTCTAGACATCCCAGTATTTGAAGAGAAATTGCCATGGGGCTTCAATTTCATCCAGGAAATAAGATGCCTTAGTTAGTGCAATTGGTCTTTGACTACATATATATGCGTATGGTTTCTAAAGTAAAAGCATCAGTTTTCTTTTGTAATGTAATTTTTTTTGTTGTCTTTTAGATAAAAATATACACTCTGGAAGAGCATGATGTTTTATCTGTTTGGGTTGAAAAGCACGTGGGAAGTCCAGCACATTTGGCTTATCGTCTCTTGTCTGACTTTACAAAGCGACCTTTGTGGGACCCCCATTGTGTGTAAGAACAAACTTAAAAATTTTTCTCAATCAACCTTGACATCATGTAAAAGATGATCTCCATATTGCAGTCCATCTCCACTGTCCAATGTGTGACCCATTGTTTAAAGAGTATTTTTAAAAGTTTGGCCGGGCATAGCACTTTGTGAGGCTGAGGCAGGTGGATAGTTGAGCCCAGGAGTTCAAGACCAGCCTGGGCAACATGGTGAAAGCCTCTCTATAAAATACACAAAAATTAACTGGACATGGTGGTGCATGCTTGTAGTCCTAGCTACTTGGGAGGCCCAGGTGGGAGGATTGCATGAGTCTGGGAGGTCAAAGCTGCAGTGAGCCAAGATCACACGACTGCACTCTAGCCTGGGCAACACAGGAGACCCTGTCAAAAATTAAAATAAAAATAAAGTTTGCTGTGGACAGAATACTGCATCAGTGATATTGAGAGACACAAAACAAAAATTATACTCACTTATCACCTATATTGAGTTGACCTGCTTTACCCACATCTATTGTAATTCTACCAGTAACTTCAAGGTCGATATTATTTCCATTTAAGAGGTTCTGAGACTTGCCAAGATTGCACAGACAATAAAGTGATGGAACCCAAATTGGAACCCAAGTCTGTCATGCTCTGAATTTTACACTCTTCTACTTTAATATGCAACCTCATTGCTCTTGAGGAAGTGATTATCCACTTGTCCTGCCTACTCTCAACATTTCATTGGCAGTTCCTTACTTCTCTGTGAAGCAACCCTCCCTGGTGAGAAGCTAAGACAGCAAGCTGTGCGAGCCCCAAGGTGAAAGGCATGCCTTCCTGCTCCCCCTCCTGATGATGTCCCTGCTCGTATTAGCCTACATCTCCTACTCCTGCTACTCCCTGTCTCCTGCATCCCTAATCCAATCTCCTCCACTCCCCGGCCCTTTCCTGGAACACAGTACATTGCTGTGCACCCTGCCAACTGCACTGATGGGGACCAGCTGCACTGAGGCCCAGCCACCTTGGCTATAGCACCCCACAGGGCTTCATGGCCACCTTGTTGACATGGAAGGGTTGGTGAGATGGGCTTCCTATTATGTTAAGCGTTTCCTAATCTTGACAAGATAGAGGCTCATCTTTAAATTTTCTAAAACTCACTGTGATAGAGATTTAGAAATACCATGTAATAGATGATTTAATACCACTAAAGTGAAACATCTCTAAGGTCATGTGTTACATTTGCACAGATGCTAGAGTTTAAATGGGAGGAGTTCCCTTATCCTCCAGGTAGGGCCTGTGAGAGGGGTATGGCTTGTTTCTTCGTGCTACTGAAACCCCTAGAGGAATCATGCAGGTGCGTAAGTCGCGGGGAGCGTTTTTTTGGGCTCCAACTCCATGGCAGCATCTAGGGTTGAGTGTTTATGGCTCCGGAAGCCCCAGTGGGTGTGTGTTGTGATGTGCTCTTTCAGTTTTGCTGTCTGCAGACAGCTTGTGCTAATCAGCTCAGTTAGACCCTCTGCCTTATCGCAAGGACAGAGGGCTTTCTGTATCCTGGATTCTTGCCTTAGTGTACTGGGAAAAACGGCTCACACGTGGCCTTGGAGGATGGGTGCAAGGTTTTGAGTGGTGGAAGCTGCTCTTAGCGAGATGGATGGGAAGCCAGAAGGAGGATGGAGTTGGAAGGTGGTCTTCTTCTGGAGTCAGGCTGCCCAGCCACCAGACTCTCCTCTGACCACCCCTGACCGAATTCCATGTCTTTCCACTGTCGATGGCCTGCCAGCGTCTGCTGGTGTCTGGCGGTGTGCTCTTCTGTTCCTCTCAACATCCAGCCCGCTAGGCTGGATGTGCCCGCTAGGGTCTCGGGTTTTTTATGGGCACAGGGTGTGGGGTGTGGTGGCCAAAAGGTAACTTCTGGGGTGTGACAACAGAAATGCCTGTCCTCATTTAGGTCCATAGGCACAGGCCCGAGGGTGGAGCCCTCACCAGTGACCCTTCCCTTCTCTATCCAACACTTCCCTGCCCACCTCCCATATCAGAATGATACATCATGGTTAATGCTATCACAATAAATCATTCTGAGAGAAGAGAAACACTTCTCAATTTTCTTGCATCAGTTTAATAGATACTCTACCAGTACAAAGCTTTTAGGAATAACAATGCCTAAACTTTGGTGTTAATACTTTAA